AATAGTCCGGCCGAGAACTCTTGGCGCAATGGTAGCGCATCTGATTCCAGTGTTTGCGGACTTTTGCCCGAAGGCTCCAGAAGGTTGAGCGTTCGATTCGCTCAGAGTTCACTCCTTTTTGCCTGATTATCGTAGCAGTTCCTAGCAAAGTTCTTCCACCATCGTTTTGGGAGCAAAGCGGACCTGCGAGAGGTCCAGGCAGTCAATGACCAGTAGTGCAGCCGCTTTTTGTTTGGTCTTTTCTTCTGCTTTAGATTATTGGATGCACTGCCAGTCGCAAATGCGAATATGGACGCGGAAATCTGTCGCAACCCATGCTCGACAAAAAGAGCGGCTCGTACGGGGATCGAGCGTGACCTCAAGTCACGTGCTGTTTGCTGCCAGTGATTGTGTGCGCATGAGGATCAGTCTCTGGGATGCGGGGCAGGGCTTCGGGCGACTCAAAATTGTCAAGACCGTGATTGGTGAGCGCAGGTCCAGTGAAAGATTGGGCAGGAGCGAGTGAGAGAATATTGAGCGAGAAAGAGAGGAAGAAAGCGATGCAAGAGAGCACGCACGTACTTGGTACCGCACAGTAGCACATGCAAGAAGAAACATCGACTTACACACCAGCAGCATCCTCGAGTCACGATCGGAACGGGCCCGAGAATGGACATTCTTGATTTTAGGGTGCTAAAGCTATCTACATAATTTTGCTAGCGCATCACGTGCCGGTGTCCAGCCAGCACGCAAGCGGGCACTCAGAGCGGCACACCAGCACGCTCGAGAGAGCGTCGGAGACGTCCAACCTACTAGACAGCATACAAGCACGTCAGGGAGCATATAGCGTCCAAGCGTATTCCCGATTCATGTTGACGTTGTCGATGATGATATTAAAAGTGACGTCGATTGCCGGACTGGTTTTGATGTGCGAGATGCTGCGGTCAAAAATTTCACTCGACTGAGTTTGATGTGCGAGATGCCGCGGTCAAAAATTCCCCGTCCGGGGATCGAACCCGGGCCGCTGCTGTCCCCCATGGAGAACTACGGCACATGCCGCAAGCGTCCATGCCAGAAATGAAAGAGCAGTATCCTAACCACTGGACGAACGAGGAATATCAAGGATGTGTGCATCAGTGCGCATATGAAGCCACTGTATTTCTTTTGTCCATCCCACGCACCTGCGTTCCGTGATCTGTCGCGCGACCACCAAGCATTAGAGGGACCCACGAAATCAGATCGAAATGAGCCAGGCAGCGAATTCGTCGACTCTATGCATGCGCGATCATGTAACTGCGAGTCGGATCGACAATGATGGATACTTAGTCGGAGAAATTGCGAGTGGCATACTTGGAAAACAGAAGCTTGGGAATTGGGAAACAAGATTTCACTTGAAATTTCAGGGCCTATGACCTTGGCACGAAAGACGTTTATGTCAGTCAACAGTGGAATCACATCTCCCCGCGCTGTCCCTCGCATCAAATCATGGCAATGCGCGTTACCCCGCGCGCGACAACAAGCACGAGGAGAAGTGCGTGGTCTGCGCACAGCTCTCCGCTCTGGCGAAGCATGCGTTCGGAGACCGCCGGGTGCAAGGGTCAAGCAGGCTCAGCTCTCGGGAGCGCTGAATCCAAGCAAGGCAGGACAAAGATGTGCATTGCGTGTATTGGATGTGCAAACAGAGGTGTAGGATAATACATGCTATGGGGAAAAGTCAGAGTCAGAGAATGCGGCATCGACCTTGGCTACGCTGATTGCCCTCCGGCGTTTGGCGTCGATGCGGCAGCAGATTCAGCTTTCCTCGCGATCTTGGCCTCCAGAGCTTTGTTGACCCATCCCTCCATGTCGACACCGTCCCCCTTGGTAGAGTCTTCCACGAGCCAAGGATGCTCGAGCATCTGTGCATAAGTGGCTCGCCGGTCAGGCACTTTTTCCAGGCACCTCGCAACAAAGTCCCGAGCGAGGCTGCTGTACGTCGAAGGTAGTTGGGGCGGGTCACCATGCACGATGGCTTGGAGCTGCGCAAAGACGTTCGAGTACGTCTCGGGCGGATATGGATACGTGCCCAAAGTCGTTTCGACGATGGTCAAGCCCAGCGACCACACGTCAGACGCGACAGTGTAGGTGCCAAGCATGTTTTGGGACTCGCCCTTGATACGCTCGGGCTGGTCATGGCACGTAAGATAGAGACGTGAGCGTACGAGAGGAGCAGTACGACGAGGATCCATACACTCACAGCCATGTAGCTCTGGCAGCCAATGTTCGTCTTTGCGAGGCTCTTTTCCAGCTGTCCAGAGACCCCAAAATCGCACAATTTGACCTCGCCTTTGCGGTTCAGTAAGATGTTTGTTGGTTTCACGTCTGTCGGTTTAGATTTTCAAAGTGAGCCATGAGGCTGACGTGGAAACCAATTCGTATCGCTCACCTCTGTGCATGATTTGTAGCTCATCCTTGAGGAATCTCAGACCTCGCACTGTCCACGCTACGATCCTCGCCAAGACGTCTTCGGGTACCGAGCAAGGTCCATGATACAAGCTTTCGAGGCTCTTCGCATCCATGTACTCCATGCAATAGTAGACGCAGCTCTCCACAAAGAATGCTCCGTAGAACTCGACAATTTCAGGCGCAGTAGCTCTATGAAGGATGTCAAGCTCCATAATAATGGCATTTAGCTTTGACTCGTCCAGCTCGAGGCGAATCTCCTGTGTGTGCGCCAGAGAAGGGCAGATACCGCATTTAGCGCTGCTTTGCGTCAACGACCACCGTGCGACTCACCTTCATTGCCATCTCTACTTTTGTGCGCGTATGACGGACCTTGCGCACAGTTCCGTAATTGCCTTTGCCAAGCTCGTCGAGCAATTCCAAGTCTTCCATGTTGATCTGGAACTTGGTGCCGTTCCGAAATTCGACGCCAGACTTGTGCAAAATCGCTTTTCCGTCAAAGTTCAAGCGTCCAGATGGGTCGCTACGCAGTTTGCAACCAAAGGCAGAGAGAGGCAGGCAATCAGCTTGCGCTTTCGAATCGTGAGCCTGATCAGAAACAAGACTGCTCACACCACGTTTGAAAAATTCGCGAAAGCTGAGCTCATGGGACCGTTTGCGTTGGCAAGCTTACCGGGTGGAGCAAGCTTTTGTCCCGGTGCTCGACCAACAAGGGCCCCTGGCTGAGACGTGCCTGGGCTGCCAGCGCCACCAGGAGGTCCTTCCGCTGTGAATCCCATGTCGCTCAGCTTGAAGCCTGGTCTGGCCCTTCTCGCCGCCATCCCTCCCAATGCTGGACCTCCACCGGTGGGGCCGCTGGGAGGAGGCGGTGCTCGAGGCGGACCACTAGGGGCTGCCCGCAGAGAGCCCAGCCCAGGTCCACCGGGTGCGCCTGCACCTCTCGACAAGAGGCTCTGAGGATCTGGTGATGGCGATCCTCCCGGTCCTGCAGCCGATCGGCTTGCGTTCTGGGTGCGAGACCAGCGCATGAGGGACAAGAGCGAGTTTGTGAGAAGAGCACTCTACCAAGAAGGCCAATCAAGCCGTGAATCGCAACTTACGGCCTGGAGCTTCGCCATCAGGCTTGGCGGCAGCGGGCCACCGGCCATGGCCTTTGCGCGCGAATTGACATTTGCTAGACTTCCCAAGCCAGCGTTCTGTCGAGGTGGCGGACCACCGCCACCGCTACCCGGGGGGCCACCGCTCCGGGAAGGAGGACCACCCGTGGGACGTCTAACAGATTCGGGCTGCTGAGGTTGGGATAGCGCTGAAGGAGGCGAAGCTGAGGCAGATCCGTTGTTGTGTCTGCCCGGTGACTGAGCACTGCTTGAATTAGGTTCGTCGGACAAGCTGAGGTCAGCCGCGCGCTGCGCTAAGGACGATGGTCCAGCTTCAGTATCTGAAGAAGCCATGTTCGATTAGGGTAAACTTGATGTGTGCAGCGTCTAGATGAAATATGGACCAACGCCGGCGAGTCGGGGGAGGCGAATGTCTTCGCAGCAAGCGGGGACGAAACCCGTCGCTGAATCGCTATATGGTGAACAGTGCGCCTTGATCGTGCCGTGCTAGCTGAATAAGCTGGTTGGAAATGCTGCTGAAGCACTGTCACTGAGCAGCTGCAAGTTTGTCGATATATCGTCCTCCAGGATTACGACAAGTGGAATTGGTATGCTGCAAAGTAGATGGCGATTCGTGCAATGATCCTAAAGACGTGGGCCTGCGAAGGAGGGGTCTGGCTTGGCTGATTGTATGCAAGCCTTGTGACAGAAGCTGGACTGGTGGAACCAGTGGATGTCACGATCAACAGTCACGAATGGGGATGTGAGGATGGTAAGCGGGGGCAGGACGAGGGCTGCGGATGCAGAGGCCCGGCACGAGAATTTGTGATTGGGTGAACATGCAGAGATGAGCAAGCTGCACCGCAACAGAGTTAGGTACCGGTATCGGTACGCAGCAGTCACGAGTACAATTACGATCAAGTAGGTACCGCGCGCGCACAATTTGATTTGAATAGGGCAGTCTGAGTATATACTACTGTACACGCGCACCCTTGCGCGACAAGGGCTGTCATCGCATGCCCACAGCATGCATGCAGCAGCACAGCTTATACAGATCACAATTGAAGTGGCATGCGCTCGCGCGGTGCTGCTGATCCTGATGCTGAGGCACTGTGCGTGCAGGGCCCAGGCCGCGCACTCGATCATGACTACTCGCGACTCTCGATCGCGATGCACGTCACGCACGCTGATCGGCCTCGGCTAAAGGTAGCTAGCTCGCCAGGCTATACCCACGACTCAAGACTCACGACTGTGTATAGGTAGGCACGGCACACAAAGCGAAGCACCGGTATTCATGACCCTTATCAATTAAGAAGGTGAAGTACGGCTCATCACGCGACTCTTGAATCACGTCTCGTGAATCAACATACTCACGACTGATGACGCGCGAGGATTTGGGCTAAAGTTGCGGCGGTGCAAGGCCACGCTTGATTCACCATTGGCTTGAGCGAATCGCGAACCACAATGAGACTCGTGACTCTTTCGCCATCATCGTGGTCTATAGAAATGATGCGCCGGGCTCTCTCTATATGTCTAAATCGCGTACGCTGTGTGCCAAGCAATCGCTTGCGTTTCAAGCTGCCCACCGCGACTGTGAAAAGAGCTTGCTGACTCCGGTGCCAAGGTGCTTCTTGGTACTCACACTCACGATTCACCAGACTCAAGACTGTTGTGACTCTGACTGGTCAGTAGGGAATCCACGATTGGCAGGGCGCCGGAGCGCATGCTACACGTGGAGGAAGATTCAAGACGCGCGCAATTCTTGATTAGACTCAAAACTCACAAATCCACGCGCTGCTGCTAAGCATGCGAGCGTTGCGATACGCGCCCCACTCTTTGACTTTCTCTCCATCGCCTCCCACGCGCGAACGACGCCGAATTTTAAAATGACAACGCTCGGGGGCGCGGTCGGCTGACTTCCTTACGACCGACCGCCGCTCACGCTGCCACGCCGCATTGCCACCATCACCACCATCATCGCCATCGCAAGCCGTCGTACGCCAGTCACGAGTGGATGAAATAGCGCACCGCTACACCTTTGCGCATATTCAATCAAGCACGCAAATTTTATTTGGCCCCTCTACCTCTCGGCTGTGCTACTCGGCAGAACAGAGCTGATTTAAGATGGCATCTTACTTGGCTAGCATTTACGGTACTGAGCAAGACAAAGTCAACTGCTCGTTCTACTACAAAGTGAGATCTCCGCCTTGGCCGCCCGTCATTTTCGGGAGGCTCAGCTAACCATCCTGCCCCCTTTGTCCCTCGCCCTGCGCAGATCGGTGCCTGCCGCCATGGAGACAGATGCTCAAGGAAGCACACACGGCCACCTTTCAGTCAGACCATACTCATCTCCAACGTGTATCAAAATCCTCGACATGCAGACGCGAACTGCACCATGAGCGACGAAGAGCTTCAACGCGACTTTGACGACTTTTTTGAAGACTTCTTTTGCGAATTAGCTAGGTATGGAACGCTCATCGAGATGCATGTATGCGATAATGTTGGGGAGCACTTGATCGGGAACGTGTATGCGCGATACGAATTTGAAGAAGAGGCTGGAAGAGCGGTGGATGCTCTGAACGAGAGATGGTACGCTGGTAAGTGTCGCCTCGATGTGGGACAGGGTCGCTGGTAAATCATAGAATCATGGAAGCGGTCCAAGCTAGCGTGCCATGGTGTCATGAACGGGATTACCAATGCTGATCTTTGCGCAAGGTTACGGACCTCTTGGCTGATATTACTTATCCCCACTTTCATCAGGACGACCGCTGTTTTCCGAACTCTCACCCGTGACAGACTTCAGGGAAGCGTGCTGTCGGCAAAATGAGACAAACGAGTGCAACAGGGGCGGCTTTTGTGAGTGGCATGCTTCTTGGTCATTCCGCGCACATAGTTCCGAGAAGCTGATGCTTACAGAAAACTTCTCTCTTGGGCATCTCAGGCAACTTCATGCATTTGAGGTACGCTTCGCCCGCTTTGGTGAGGGAGTTGCATCACGAGCTATCGGCAGAGCTCGCCTTTCGAAGAGCAAAAGAAGAGAGCACGGGCAAAAAGATGGGCTGGAAAGATGAGATTGCGGCGAATGATGACACGGTACCGGACTGGAAAAAGGGAAAGAGCGGAGGGGATTGGAGAAACGGGCCTAGAACTTTGCCGGTGGAAGGTGACGATCAAAATGTGGCTCATGACGATCCTGCGGATCAAAAAGACAGGCGTCGCTCTGACAGGAGGAGCGCGAGTCCGTCGCGGTAATCGATTAGGAAATTTCATGCTTCATTGTTCAGGCATGTCGTCTCCGCCCGTCGGCATTCCGTTTGTCTGTTTTGCGAGCGAGTCAATGCGCGAATTATCTCGGCTCGAAGCACCCGCCTTCCGCTACGAGTGCTTGAAGGGGGTGGTTCGGTAGCAAGATGACTGCGCAATCGAACGACTTATGGCAGGCCTATTGGGACTTGTAGGCGCTCAAGAAGGGCGACTCTTTGAATGTCATTCTCCACTACTGTACATACGTGACTCCCAGCACACCTCGGATCGCTGGATCCCCCGCAGAGCACGCGTTGACTGACTCTAGCGCGACAGCGGCGGGTCAAACAACGCTTTACAGAAGATGCTGTGTAGATACCGGTGCGGTACATGGCGCGCACCGCGCGCCCAGCATGCAAATGTGCCTGCCTCTGCGTACTTAGCGCGGTTTTGGCAGTCGAGTGGATGGGGGTTTGAGTCACGAGTGAGCAACCTTGGGCGCGTTACGTGACATGCGTGCGACCGCCGCCGGTCAAGGTGTTGAGGCACCCGCGATGCCATGCAACCAGTCGTGAGTGACGAGGGCGAGATCACAGTCAGAGTCGTCCTACCTAGCTGTCTTGCAGCGTCTGACCAGTCATGGGGGCCTTTTGAACGCACCTACGACAAGCGGTACGAGTTTCATTCTAGTCCCGAGTCTGTATCCTTGCTCTCGCTACGACCCGCCGTCACCGCGATAACCTCGTTCTTCCTCACTGTCACTGAGCCATCGCACCAACACCTGGCTCGCAACACACGACTCTTTCTTGCTTTGCACTCTACTCAGCCTCAGCTTGCAACTTGCATCTGCTGCGCCCGTGCGTCCGACGCCGAAGACCTTTGAGCGAAGGATGTACAAGCCTGAATTGTGAACAGCACAATTAAGGTGGGTCAGCACGCCGACTTTCAAAATTGCTTCCATTTTCAGCTTTCAGTTGGCGCTTTGATATGACAATAGCCAGAAGTATTGAAACTCCCGTTTCAAGCACAACACCCACACACACTCCCAATTGGCCGGCTTGTAGGGCACTCAAGACTTGCGACGGCCGCCAAGAGTCCAACTCGGCCGCTCAAATTAGCTGATCGGCTGGCCCGTGCTATTCTGGTTCGTTACAATAGCGCTGCTTTTACACATTCATTCATATTCAAGATTGACAAAGCTCCAGCGCTTCCACTTCAGCGATCTCCACCAGCAAGGCGTCGAGGTCTACCTGCGTCCAGTCCGGCTACATCTCCCCTCGAAGCTCCGAGCTTTACGCTGCAGCGCTTGCCACGACCACCTGCCTGAACTGATGAGCGGAAACTCGTCTCCAAGGACTCGCTCTGCAAAGCGCGGTCCCTCCAACTTTGGTCCTACTGATCCTGCCGAGGCTTCACTCTCTTTACTGGTCTGGGTCTCCGCACCCTCTCAGTCGTCCTCAAGCACGGGGGAGAAGCTGGTTCAGCTGAGCAAAGCGCCTCTTTTGATTCGAGATGTGCCCCAGGTCAGAAGAAAGCTGACCAAACGCGACAGCAAGAATCTCAATCATGGAACTTCGAGCGGGTTGATCGAAGGCAGCTTGCTCGGAAGTGAGGGGCGGACAGGCTCGACGGCGGGCACATCGACTCAGCATGGTGCCGCAGCATGGGCGAATGCTGGGTCTTCTCATGGTGGGGCCAACCTTGGCAGCATCCCCGCCGCGCAATTAGAAGCCGAGTCTCTGATCACTTCAGCCAGAGCAGTGAGTCATGCTCCTGCCACCGTGGAGGGTATTAGCAGCTCTCGGAATCCCCTCAGTTTTGTCAAAAGCAAGCCGGGCTGGCTCAAGGGTGAGTCTTGAGCGAAGTGGTATGCGTCAGTGTGGAGCGGCTCGTCTAATGCGATCCCCACCACAGAAAAGTCAAGTCGTTCGAGGCTCACAATGCCCTCCGGCGTCGATCCGGCTATGCTCGGTGGGAGCGCGTCCAGCCTCAGTTCTCCAATGTTGCCAGGCGGCGTGGGTTCGCTGGGAAATGCAGGCAGCTCGGTGGCAAGCAATCGCGGGTCGGGGTGGAGGAGAGGCACAGCTATTTTCCGAGAGGACGGGGTGTTGAGCATCTATGGCGAGGTGAGTGCACAAATACAGCACCGTCATGTCTCGTTCGTGCTCACCCAGAGGCGTGCTGTGCACACCTAGGATCGCGCTCTGCTTCACTCTATACATGCCCCATCTTTGCGAGCGAGCGACGTTCGCAAGGTCGACGATTCCCTATTCGCCCGGCCTCACGTGCTGGGAATATTTGCCAGTCCCTCCGTCTTCAGTTTGACTAGCGCCAAATCACCGAGAACGCCAAACACATTCGTCAGCGCAACCACACCGAGCACGCAAGGTCGGGATGAGCCAGTTTACCTCTGCTTTCCCTCACTGACGAAGCTGGCTCGATGGAGAGCCGTTTTGCGATTGTACGCTCAACCGGAGGTGTATGGGCCTCTTGGCACGGCAAACGGCACCCACCGGATCCACAGGCAGATCGACATGAGCATATTTGAGGCTCGCTTCAAGAGCGCTACACATACGAGTTCTTCTTCAGCAGAGCATCCAGGCGGCGGCGGGCGCATGTTGCGCCATCTCGCAAGCAGTTCTGGCCACGGCTTGACCCACGTCACATCGAGCTCAGCCGGCCAGCGATGGGGACCGTCGAACGGTCCAGACGCTGCCAAAGTGTCTTCCGACCAGCAGACGTCAAGGACATCTGGTGCTGCGAGCTCACGGGCAAGTGAAGCAGGTGGTCCGAACACGTCTCACTCGGCGGTATCAATGCAGCCGACGCGATCCAGCTCTTCCGACAGCCACTCTGCCCATGGACACTTTGGCGTCGCGCGACACAGTAGCAGCTCATCGCCAGCTCCTAGTGCTCGCGTGATCGTAGAAAGCGACGAGGAAGGGTGCGATGGTGCTGCGGACAAGAGCGTGGTGACAGGAGGGGAAGAGGACGAGGATGATGGAGAAGACGAAGACGAGGCCGTGCAAAGCGGACCCATAAGCGGCTTGGCTGGAGCTGCGCGTGCAGCTGCCATTTTTCCTGGCGCGGACACTTGGAACACTGCTGCAGCTACAGAGAATCTTAAGAGCAAAAAGAGGACTTTGAGGCCTCCGCGCAGGATCATGGGATCGGCGGCAGGCATCGGCTTGGGTGGTGCTGGTCTCAGTCCTACCGAAGTAAACTCCTATAGGCTTAGCGCAAGCAACGCGAACTCATCAGCACAGCCTCCTTTCACGGCGTGCTATTGCTTGCTCTTTTTGAGCGGCCTGGTGGCCGCGCGCACGAAGGTTAAACACGCACCGAACGGCGGCTTTACCTGGGCAGAGAAGTTCGTCTTGACAGATCTGCCAGTGCTGGATGCGCTGCAGATCGACGTCATGACTGCAACTGGCAATCCCCCGAGCCGGGCTGCAGGAAGCAGTACTTCGACTAACGCGAGCTCGGGACAGAGCCTAAAGTACACGCTGACGGGATCCGTCGATCTGCCGATCAACACGATGCGAAGAGGCGAAGATATTGATGGCTGGTTCCCGGTTTGGGCCCAGCGTTTAGACGACGCTAGTGGCAGTGACAAATATGCGCGCCTTGACATGTCTTACGGAAGGGAAATGATTGGCGAGGTCCACCTCAAGGTCCGCGTCCGCGAAGAGATCATCCTACCGCGGGTCCAGTACGCCGAGATAGAAAAGGTGTGTGTGGCTGCGCATGCTTCTCGCAATTTCCGCGAGACGTCATGCTTACGCTCTTTGTCTCTTTCGGCTTCGCTAGGCGCTCAACCGGCCTGGCTGTGTGCCGTTCATTCAAGCTCTCGCAAAAGAGCTGGACGATTCGCAGCTCATTCCTCATCTTGTAGATGTCTGGGCCAGCTCCCAAACGATCGCTGATCGTATTGGGGACCTTGCAGATGCAGAGAGCGCTTCGCAAGGAGGCAGACTGGAAACTGAGTTGCTGTTCAGGTCAGTGCTGTTGCTCCGCTTGCGGACTGGGTACAAATGCTGATCGTTCATCTTGTCTTTCGGCGGGTGCCACGCCTCGCAGAGGAAACACGCTGCTCTCCCGAAGTCTAGATCAATTTCAGAGACTATATTGCTCAGACTGGCTAGATGCGTCTATCGGGCGTATGGTCCGTCGTATCTGTACAGAGCGCATCTGGCTCAACCCTGATGATGACAGAGAAGCAACGACATTGCAAGCGGTCCCATCGGCAACAATGCAGACTGCAGGCCCGCCAGTCGCTAGCTCACCCCTCACCAGAAGCGCAACATCCCACTCCAGCGCGAGCGGAGACAACTCCCAAGGATCGATCAACGCCCCCGCCACGCCGGCCTTGAGTACCGTTGAGCGCCTCAAACGGCTATCCATACAGATGTGGGACAGCATCTACGGCAATCGCCATGCGTGTCCACCGTGAGTTGCTGCCATCGTTCATTCAGTCCTGCAGAAGCACTTTACTGACCAGCTCTCCTCTCGATAGGGATCTGCGCCGCGCGCTGTTCCACATTCGCACAACTGTCAATGCTCGTTTCGCTGGACATGCCAACGTCAAGCCGCCAGGACCAGGCTTTCAAGGAGTGGGTGCATTTGTCTTTCTTAGATTGATTTGTCCCGCTATCACGTCGCCAAATCTTTATGGCCTTACAGCGAGTGAGTCGACCCGCTCCGTGCGGAGTCTCAAGCGTGTGTCCCCTGACGCCGACCGCCGCATCTCTACAGCGGCTCCCGACTCCCAGAGTCACAAGACCCTGATGCTCGTCGCCAAAATGTTTCTCGCTTTGGCGAACAAACGACCTGCTTTTGACAAGGATAAGGAGCCTTGGCTGGTGCAGGCTAGCGACTTTCTTCGGGTCAGTACTGCAAAGCCACGCATGCCGGTGCGCCTGACGACTGACACACTTGTCGGCTTCTCAGAACCAAGCCGCAACGTACGACGACTACATCACGGCAGTGTCGGTGAGTAAGGGTGCGAAGACGTGGCGGCGGCATTGCTCACCGAGTTCGTGCTTGCACACCCTCAGACCTTGCCACCACAAGCGGCGCCCGAAAAGCTGACTGCGCTCGGCGACGACGAAGACTTTGCACTTCAACGCGCCGCGCAAGCACGGACGGTAGGACTCTCGGTCCTCCATCGAGAGTCTATCCCAACTCCAACCTACCTGCTGGACAGACCGTTGGCGCTTGCTTCGCTAGTCTCGTATGTGGTCCGGACGTTGCACATGTCTCGTTTCGACGTCGACCGAATGTCAAGTCTAGGGAAGTCGACAAGCGTAGAGGAATCAGGCGATGCTGGTGTCGACGAAGCGCTGGATTCATTCATTGATGCTTGTTGCAACGCCGAGGACGAGGCAGGCTATGTTGTGGACACAGCTGGCATCGACCCGACGCCTATCGACCTGCAAGTAGATGGAGCCAGCGTCCACTCTGGAACGTCATCTTCCATTTCAATTGGCACCAGCACTGCGCGAAGCAACCTAGGAGCGCCCAGCTTTGGCAGTGGTAGCAGGACTGCCACGCTGCGTGAGACAGAGTCATTCAACGATCAGCAGTACAATTCCAACAAATTCGCATCATCCTTCGGCAGATCGCGACGAGCTACGGTATCTGCAGTCACTTCTAGAGCTGAGCGAAGGAATGGGAGAGCTTCACCTGCGCTTCCAAGCCACGATCAAGTCTACACTTCCATTGGAGGCAACCAATCGGACGACGAATTGCGCGCAGCGTACCAGACTTTTCGCGAGACGCCACTTCAATCGCTGGGCGGCGGCGCGTACACCAATGATCGACGACACTCTGCCAATGTTGCAGGAGGCTACAATAGCACGCAAGATGGCGGCGGACCAGACCCAAGCACCTCACAAATTGACGGCTTCGATACCCAATCATCGACTCACACTTCATCCACGACTGGCGGTGGCGCAGCTAGAATGACGTTGAGCGAAGCGTTGGGCGACGAATTTGTCGACAGGGTCACCAACGATAAAGCTTCGCACTCCGCTCACCGAGGCGGCAGCGATCAAGGTGCCCATGCAGATGTCTACGACCTTTCGGATGTCGGCCGAGCACTCTCGAGCGAGATTCACTCCTCGCCCAACCCTCGCTTTGGTGATCATGGCCTGGTGTCTACGCCGAGCAGCGCGAGCAAACGCCGAAAAAGTTGGTGGAAGCGCTAGTCTTGCACACGCAGCCAGCCCCGTGGCGCATAGGCCAAGATGACAAGAGTGTGGGTGTGCGAAGTTCCATCCGTGCAATCCTCTTTCCTCTCTCTCTCTCTCTCTTTCTGCCTTTTACAATCTGCTATTGCTTCGTGCTTCACCTCTCTGTATTCAGAATATGCTGCTTGCGCCATGCCAAATGGATGCCATGCCTCTTTGTCATCACATTGAGCATCCTGAATTTTGAAACTCTGACTAATCGATCGAAAGAGCAGACTTTTCGGAGGGGGGAAACCCAAAGGAAGCAGCGATCCTTCTCCCCAACTTTTCTCATTGCTGGAAGAGGAGTAAGAATGTAGTGCGTGAAAGATGGCTCCGAGCACTAGACCCGAGCTGACTTTGGCAAAGGGGGGAGGGGGGGGGGAAAGTTGGAGCGGCGATCGAGTATCTGGTCAGGTGCATCGCGGTGCGAGCGGGTCTCCAAAGAAGAACAGGTATCGTCTGTTCATGGATCGACAGAATTGATTATGGACACGGTGGAGAGGAAAGAACAGGGGTGGGAGGGAAGAGAGTCCGTGATCCAAGAGGGTCGTCCTAGTGAGTGTTTATAGTGATAATGCCCGTATGAAAGTTGCGCAAGAGTGCTTTGCAGGTGTGCGTCTGCTGGACCGCTCAAGGATGGCTCAAAGCAGGGGCCCAGCACAAAGTAGAGAAGATAGATGGATGGGAGCGCTGACAAATGAAGTTGACCTGAATCGAGCTTGCGAAATTGGCGGGAGCAAGATCACTGCTGCTGCTGAGAAGGGTTGGTAACGGCAAAGACTTTTCTAGAGTAATCCTGGTCGTCCCTCAAGCTGCTGGAGCTGCCAGTCTGTTGAGCTCTCTGGAAGCCGGTGTTGTCCAACCTTCCGTCTTGTCCGCTCGCGCCGTACGGGTTGGGGCCTACTCCGTCTTGCAGAGCGGCAGCAGATGTTCCATTAGGTCCACTGTGCGCAGGATTCAAATGATCCTCTTCTCCGGGACTGTTGTCATTAAAGACATTTGGGCCGAGCAGATGCTCCGGAATACCCAAATTGCCGGTCCCCAGATTTCCCGCGCTTTGACGATGACCTCCGCCCGCTGCTGCTGCACCCGCAGCTCCTGCCGCAGCTGCGCCTCCGAACGACATACCTTCAGCATCCAAAGGTGGAGAGTGTCCGGGAACCCCCCATCCGCTCTGTCCCTGAGGCTGGTTCATCATCTGAAACTGCTGGCCGTTGGGATCGGTATGAGCACCTTGGCTGTACTCGTGACCTTGGCTCATCGGTTGTTGGTTGTAATAGCCATCCGGAGCGTTGGGATCGTAGTAGTGGCCCTGAGAAGTGGCCTGAGGATCCACGTATCCGTTCTGATGGTCGTAGTAGCCTTGGTAAGCCGCAGCCGCGCCCGCTCCAGCCGCGCCCGCTCCAGCCGC